ACTATCACACAGGCTGTCGCTATGTCACCCGTGTGCGGGGGGTGCCTCCTGCCTATGTGGGGAGTCGGATCAAGAAGGGAGGTGCTTCCCTAGCATTTGGGTGACATAATCCCTTGGTTCTGGGGGGATCACATTATGTGATGACGTAACAGAATAAATTCAACAAGTGCCGCGCAAAGGCCTGTCACATGGAATGAGATTAAACTGTTTCCAGGAATAAATATTTCAGTTCTGATACAATGACTTTACATGGTAATATTTGATTTTCAGAACAACTGGTAAGAATTTCACAAACATTTGAGAGCCACTGTGTATGGACTTTATACAAAGTTCTCTCAAACTCCACTTTACAGCTCAGACGGTCGGGTACAGGGAGGAACGGAAAGGCGATCGGAGCTTTGGTAAGTATTTTATAAAAAGCCTCGTGTACGTGGCAGAAACGGATCACCTTCCCCGCCTCACCCCCAGGAGCCGGGGGCGGCTCACCACGCCGGGCCTGTGGGGCACGGCTGCTCTCTAGTCACCCCTCACCCCTGCGTGCACTGGCATTCACACGGGTATTGGACAGTGTCTTAGGGAGTCTGCCTGTGATAGCCAATCCCAAAGCATTTGAGGACACTGTGACGTGAAGTACACATACATCTGAACAACTGAAACTTAAAGGCAAATAAACAACCAATTAGGAAAAGGCTAAAGGTAGACGAACTGGCTCTTGGGATGATCGCGTGACCTCCTCGCACTCCCCGCCCTGCGGTCGGCAGCACGGCCCGAGGGCCACCTGCTCAGTGCAGGGTTCTAACTGCTGCTCCTGGCACCGTCTTGGCTCAGCCGGAGCCAGAGCTACTGGGAGGGGGGCTTTGGGGCGTGTTCCCCACAGTAGGGGCGCTGCCCACGATCTATAAATTCTGGTTTGAAGAACGTAGAGACATAGCTCTATAAAAGCAAAGGTGAGGCCGGCTGGCGGGGCTCCGCGGTTGAGCACCGACCTATGAACCAGGAGGTCACGGTTCGATTCCCGGTCAGGGCACAGGCCCGGGTGGTGGGCTCGATCCCCAGTGTGGGGCGGGCACCATCGGTGTTTCTCTCTCTCCCTCTCCCTTCCTCTCTCTCTAAAAACCAATAAAAACATATTACAACCCCCCCCCCCCCCCTCCGGCCACTCAGGCAAGAAATACCAGGAGCACATTGGGTTTGAACAAGTCACAGCGCAGGAGCCCTGAGCGTGTGAGCTCAGCTGTTGACAGGTGGTGGTTTGGCCGCCAGCGTGTCTTCCTGCAGCCCGTTTGGCAGTGGGTTACGGGGTCTACGGACCCGCGTGCCTGAGCTCGATGGGCACCCGAGTCCCGCCCAGACCCACGCCTGTCTCCGCGGGGAGCTCTCGGGCCTGAGGCTCCTGCTGACAGTGATGGATCCCACGTCGCCTTTGTCCTCAAACCACAGCCCCACCGGTGTTGGTTTTGCCAAATTAACTCCAGGGTCTTACTGGCGAGGAGCTTATGAAACGCGTTTCCAGCGCTCGAGTGCTCTCCGCGAACCCGCGTCCCGCTCGCCCCAGGCCCCTTCCCACGCGCGCCTGGCCCTGGAGCTGCCGCCACTGGGGGCCGTGCATCCCGCAGCCTGCACTGGACAGAGAATAGAAGGCATGTGTGGAGGATTTTTTTTTTCATTTGTCTATAAAAATACACATTTATTAAGTCTGCACAATGTTAGCTCAGCTCTTTCGGCACACAGCCGTCCATCTGTATTTCTGCAGGCCAGCCCGGGTATCTGTTCTTTGCAACATCAGAGTGGTTGATCTTCTCTCTCTCAATTCCTGCAGGAAGTTCCAAGCCCTTCGCTGTGAGAAATACCCAGCTGGACCTGAGCCGCATGTTCCTGATTTCTTTGCTTCCAAGCGCTTCTATGGTCTTCTTGGCGTCCTCCTGCAGTCGCTGCTGCCATCATCGTGGGTCCCCATGAAGAGCAGGGACCTCGCAGGCGCGCCCTGAATGAACTTGGTCATGGGTCCGGAGTAACCTCCTTCATACATATCAAAACGCCGTGCTGCTATCACTTTCCCAGTCACATAACTGACAATGGCAAGATTTATTCCTCTCCCAACATTTCCAATCTTTTCTCCTATGAGCAGCTTGTCCTCAAACAGATTTTGGCGGACTTGTCCCTGCCCCCGCCGCTGAGCAACCGGTAAGCATAGGTGTTCGGGGGGCATGGGGACCAGTGGTCGCATTTTTGCCTCTTGGGGGCCGGGGCTTTGAGGATGGGCCTCTCCCCAATGCTCCGGACGCTGTAGATGGCACTGGACAGGGGCGCGTCTGGGACGAGCTGTGCCAGCAGGTACCCGGCATTCCAGGTGCACACGGAGGCGAAGGTGAAGAGCACGGCTCTCAGGGCGCCTCGTCTCCGCCTGCGGCCTCTGCGCCAGGAGCCGTCTGTGCCCCCGCGCCCGCGCCATCCCCTTTTTTTATAGACAAATGAAAAAAGAAAAAAAAAGAAAGCACGCGTGGCGTTGTCCGTGAAGGGAAGTGACGTGTGTGAATGGAACGTGCGAGGCATTGGCTCCGTGAAGCAGACACCAGCGCTGGGGAAGGGGCCGCCGTGTGGAGGGGGCGGGGGGAGGACTCACGCGGAGGCAGCTTCGTAGCCCGTCACTCCCGTTCATTAGCTCACACGCTCAGTGGCACCACCAGCTCCCCATGGCAGCAGCGAAGGCCTGGGCACCGGTGGGAACTGCAGGACGAGGCAGCCTCGTCTGCTGGGCAGACTTGGCTCATTGCTGTCCCTGTGGCGGCTCCATCGGGAAAGGCCGGTCAGCTCTCACCTCAGCAGGTCCCTGCTCAGCGCCGGTCAGCAGAGAACTAGGCACGCGTGTCCTCTGTCCCTGCTGCCCGTATCTCATCCCCGACGGAGGAGGGAGCGGCCTTCGCCCTCGCCCTCCTGTTGAAGATGCTCCTCGGTGGGGTCCTTCCATCTTTTCTGCTGCAGCTCCCGGGACTGACAGCGAGACCTGACTCCGGGCCCCGGCGTCTCCTTCACCGTGTCCGTGTCGTGGGCACAGACTCCACCACCTGCAGACGTGGAAAGGGGGCGTCAAGGTCCTGTGAGCTACGTGCAAAAGGGTCCCAAGCCTTTGTTTTGATCATGACCCCTGTTCATCTAGACCAGTGATTCCCAAAGTGGGCGCTACCACCCCCCGGTGGGCGCTGCAGTGATCCAGGGGGGCGGTGATGGCCACAGGTGCATTTGGGGGCGATGAGTAACTGCTATTAAAATTTTAAAAAAATTAATTTCCAGGGGCTGAGTAATATTTTTTCTGGAAAGGGGGCGGTAGGCCAAATAAGTTTGGGAACCACTGATCTAGACACACGTGCAGCGTAGTCTGAATCCGAGCAATGGAACTGTGACACCCTCACTTGCTGTGTCAGCATAAGCCGACCAACCCGCCTACCTTCCTGTCGTCCTGAGTGAGGCTGATGGCGTGAGGCGTCCTCCCAGCCTATCCCACCCGAACTCTCAGGGGACCCAGTGTGAACCCAGAACCTTCCCAATCACAGCATTCGTGGGAAACCATGACAATCAGGACATTCTGTCATCCGCTGCCGGAGGGAAGGAGGAGTCTGTCTGCTTGTTTCCTATCAGGGTTGCGGTGGGGAGCGAAAGATGGAGGGGATGTGTTTCTCGGGGTTCCCCGCCCCGCGCCCTGTGCTGAAGGAGGAGTTTAAAGAGTTTCTGAAAATTGGGAACTGACTTCCAAATTTCACCTGAAGGCGGGGGCTTGTGAGCCGCCTGTGAGCGGGACCAAGGCACTGCCTGGCTAGCGCCTTCTGGAGATTGCTGATCACTTTCACCCACGAGGGGGGGCCGGGGCCGCCCCCTCTGGCTGGGGCCACCTGGGGTCTGTCTCACTCCTCGCGGGCTCGCGGCGGCCGGGGCAGCCCCTTGCCTGGGAAAGCCAGCAGCCAGGGCCTCCGCGGACCAGAGAGGCGGCCTGCCCCTGCCCTGCAGCCGCTCTGTGGGCGATCGCTCACCCTCCTCCCCGGGGCCCGGAGCCCACGGCGTCCACGTGGCACCAGGCAGGGCGAGAGGAAGTGCTGACGAGGGAGAGGATTCGGTGAGAAGCGGCTGTGACCCGGACAGTGACTGAGATAAGGATCCCTGCATTTGAACACAGAATCACGGAACCCGCGCCGTGGACCCGATCAGACTCCAGGAAGCCTCGGGCTACCAGCAGAATGCGGCCCCAGCGCCGGCCGGTCTGGGCTGCACGGCGTTCCCGCGTCACCGAGTCCCTGCATCTGCAGTGGTGGCTCAGTGAGGCGTGGCGCTCCCGGACTCGTTAATGTTCACACGCCCTTGATGGAGCTGGCAGGTCACGTACCGCGATTCTCCACTCGAAACGAAGCATTAGAGCCTGAGATGGACTTGGTTTGGTTCTTTTTTCCCCTTTAATATATATTTTTATTGATTTCAGAGAGGAAGGGAGAGATAGAAACATCAATGATGAGAGAGAATCACTGATTGGCTGCCTCCCCCAGGCCCCCTCCTGGGGACCGAGCCCGCAACCTGGGCATGTGCCCTTGACTGGAATTGAACCTGGGACCGTTCAGTCCGCAGGCCGACGCTCTATCCACGGAGCCACACCGGGCAGGACATCGGGTTTGGTTCTGAGAGTCCAGTGTCCTCGTTCCACGCTGTGTTCGGCCTGCTCCTTCCTTAGGCCTCTCAGACCACTCGTCGTCACAGGGCACACCCGCCCCTCTGCTGACCAAGCCCCTTTCATAATTAGCTGCTCTCCTGCTGCGCTCGTGATGAGCTCTGCAAACGGCGTGGGTGAGGTCCAGCCCAGGTGCCCTGTCGACACGGGACAGGGGTCGGCGGAGATGGAGGGCGCGAGGGCGGATTCACCAGGATCTACTGAGCGGGCGGTGCACCCTGGGAACAGCAGGACAGACCGGCAGCGTCAGCGCTGGACCCGTTGTCATACTGATGAGGTCGCGACGGCAGGACGAGGGCACGAAGCCGACACTGCAGGATCCGCAGAGTGGGGCGCCCCTGGCTCCGAGGGGGGCTGTGGGCGAGCGCAGGCCTCTGCCTGGGCTGTGATGCTGGACCCGTGTCAGCGACTTCAGTGAAGCTGGGATGTTGGCAACAGCGCCTCCCAGAACAGGAGGGTCTGGGTCATTAATATTCTAGAGAAGAGAGAGCCCTGGCCGGTTTGGCTCAGTGGGCAGAGCGCTGGCCTGTGGACTGAAGCGTCCTGGGTTCAATTCTGGTCAAGGGCACGTACCTCGGTTGCAGGACCCCGGCCCTAGTTGGGGTGCATGCAGGAGGCAACCAGTCGATGTGTTTCTCTCAGATCGATGTTTTTCTGTCTCTCCCCCTTTCTTCCACCCTCTCTAAAAATCAATGGAAACATATCCTTGGGTGAGGATTAACCAAAAAAAAGAAAATTCTAGAGAATAATGATATATATATATATATATATTCTAGAGAATAATGATATATATTCTCTAGAGAGAGAGAGAGAGAGAGAGAGATTTTTAAAGTTTTTTCTTGGAATAGATGCAATTGAAACATTTAAAAAATCTTCTGAGACACATCACTTAAAAAAGTCCCATCTGCTTTGGCCTTTCTCGTTTCCATGGCGAGGAAGCGGGTGCTGGGCACCCCTGAAGGCCCTGCCGGTGAGACCCCGGCTGCTGTGAGGCGCCCACTCACACGGGCGCCCCGAGTGCCCCTGCTCAGTGCACTGTGCTGGGACGTTCACGTATTTGCAAAACATTCAAATAACATGGGTTTTGCTTTCCAAGATCTGTTAACACTGAAGTGATGACCGCTCAGCAAGACAGATTAGAAAAGAGGCGGAAAGGGGATGAAAGCGGCCAGTCCTGCGTGGTGTCCAGCAGGGCGCTTCCTGCAATAGCACCGAGGAGTTTCCTTTGTGCACCGTCCGGCTCCCAGCCTCTGGGCTCTGCACCTGCCCTCTGCCCCCTCTGCCCTCGCTGGGACCCAGGCGCTGGGACCCTGCAGTGCTTGTCTCGGCTCCGTGGGAAGCTCGTCAGTAGAGGGCGCTGGAGGGACACCGCGGGAGAGTCCTCCTCCGGGTCCTGCTGCTTCCTGGAGCCCCTGTCCCTGTTCCTCAAGGGGACACGCCGGGGGTTCCCTGGCCTCTGGCTTCCATCTCCTGCACACGAGCTCTGAAGGCTCAGAGGATGGCCTTTTCCAGCAAAGACATCGTTAGAGGTGGTGCCATAACGAGAAGCCCTATTTTAAAAAAATGTATATATATAATTGATTTCAGAGAGGAACGGAGAGAGAGGGAGGGAGAGAGAGGAACATCAATGATGAGAGAGAATCATGGTCTGGCTGTCTCCTGCACGCCGCACACAGGGGATGGAGCTCACAAGCCAGGCATGTGCCTTAACGGGGAATTGAACCATGACCTCCTGGTTCATAGGTCAATGCTCAACCACTGAGCCACCCAGCCGGGCCCAAGCCCTCTTTACTACACAAAACATCAACTAACTTCCTGCAGGCTGGCTTCGGAAAGAAGGCCAGCGGATTAGTATACAGTGACCTTTAAATTTAAATAAAGGCAAAAGTCGGTTACCGCCACCGCGTTCTAAAAAGGGAGACCTGCTGTTCCCATCACAGACAGCGGTGCGTTTCAGTGGGGAGTCATGTGCTGCTCCCGCGACAAGCAGCAAACCCGCGATGCGGCCAGAGCCCCCCCACACAGAGCACTGGCTGCTGGTGTGGATTCTGAAAATCATTCCTTCAGCCCCTTGGTTCTTAGGTTCTAAAAGTTTATACAGTTTCTCGGGAAATCACAATACTTGACACTATCTTGAATGAGCCTATTATTGGGACAAAAGAGAAAATAGTACAAAGATAGACATAAGACTCTCTGATAAATGGAGTGACAACAGTCATGGCTAAATGGTCCTAAAGTTACTGAAAGTTAAAAGATTTATCTCAGCAATGTGGAAATGCTGTTTCTTGGTAAATGTCCCGTGACTTTGAAAGTAAAAGTTTGTGTCCGGCCTATAATCACTTTGCACAGAGGCACCACTGCCACGGGAAACACAGAAATGTGACACAGAGCTGGGCTGTGAGTAACTGTATTCTCTTTAAAAAGAAAACAGTGTTAACAAAACAACCAAATCTTATGGCGACGAGGGTAGGTTTTCACTTTAACTTCACCGATGATGCTAAATCAAAGTCTTGATATATATTTTTAAACGTTAAAATCATTTCTCAATATTTATGTATTTTGCCCCGGCCGGTGTGGCTCAGTTGGCTGAGCATCCCACGCACTCAGCAGGTCAGTTCCCAGAAGGGGGCCTGCAGGAGGCAGCTGAGGGATGCTTCTCTCTCATCAAAGTTTTACTCTCCCTCCCTCTCGCTTCCTTTCTCTCTAAAAAACCCACAAAAACATATATATTTTTTAAAAAGGTCACATGCCCGATAGACCCTGTAAAACACATCTAATTTGTCACCATTGTTGGCTTCTGGTGGCTTTTTAGCCTTGATATTCAAGTGTAAAGGTTTCTCCAAGTCTGTGCTAACCCTCTGTCTCCAAGTCCATCTCCTACTGCCCACCTTCCAGGCCCTTCAACTGGCAAACCATACACGCGTCCCTCCCTATTGTAGCGTGAGACCCGCGCTGAGAGGAGCCACTATCTGGGTCAGCACGCATTCACCATGGCAACGAGGGCAGGTCAGCGCGGCTGGAGCCAGGGAGAGGACTCGGGAAGCTGTGCACCAGGAGTCTGCACGCGCCCCGCAAGAGCACGTGGAGATGCGGGGAGCACGGGAGATGCGGGGGGCACGTGGAGATGCGGGGAGCACGGGAGATGCGGGGAGCACGTGGAGATGCGGGGAGCACGGGAGATGCGGGGAGCACGGGGAGATGCGGGGGGCATGGGGAGATGCGGGGAGCACGAGGAGATGTGGGGAGCACGGGAGATGTGGGGGGCACGGGAGGATGGCGGAGCCAGGTCAGGAGAGGGTGTGGAGCGTGTGGACTTGTAACTGAAGGCATGTGGCGGAGGCCACGTCCTCACATCCATCTACTGAAGCTGTACCCCCCGCCCCCCCTCCTCCTGGTCGCCGTGCACCTCCCTTTGTCCTCCCGGTGCCCGTGGTCCGTAGCCTGTCCAGGACCTGGCATGGCCCCGGCGTGCAGGCTGCGGTGCAGACCCTGCCTCTCCAAGTGCGTCTGGAGGAAGACCTCCTCCACGCACACCTTCTGGGATGGTCAATAGGTATGTTCTTTCTTGGCAGTTACTGTTCTCAGAATGTGACTCTGTCTGTGCAGAACGAAACGTTAATAAACGTCTCGGTGTGAATCACCTTTCCTAGCTTATGAGCGACTGTCCCGCATACGACGTCTCCTCGACTGCATTGTCTGCCCGAGTCAGCAACTGAGTGCGCCCGCGCCCGAGCAGTGCCCACAGCTCCTGGGGACAGGGTCGGCGCATCTGCTGGCTCGATGTCTGTATTCCCTTCCTTCCCGTGCTCCCTGTTCTCTTAGGGACGAGAAGCACCATTTACACTTTCTGGCCTCGGGCAAACCCCAACCCAGTGCGAAAAGGAGGCAGGTAAATAAACACACTCTCAGGAACAACATGTTGCCCATAGATTTGGGTCTTTGGGTCACAAGAAGGCTCCTTGGCAAGAGAGAAGCAGAACAGGCATCAGAAAGACGAAGGGACACTTACAACGGCCAGGAGCAAAGGCTCCAACAGAAAGGGACACGGTGCGCTGTGCCAGCTGAGCAGCCTGGAAGGTGGGCAGTAGGACACGGGCTTGGAGAGAAAGGTGAGCACAGACGTGGAGACACCTTCAGGCTTCATATCCAGGCGAAGAAGGCGCCGAGTCCGCGGCAAACAGGAGACAGAAGAGCCGTGTGTGTCACAGGGTCCCGGGGCCAGTGGGCTTGGCTGGATGACAGGTCAGGAAGGAGGAGAAATGGCCTGAGTGGCGATCGTTAGCGGGCAGAGCTCTCGGTGGGACGGACACAACAGAAACCACAGGAACAAGGCTCGTCACCAGTGACCGTAGACCTGAGCTCGAGCTGCGTTCTCTCTGGGGCAGAAGCCGCAGAACCACGCTGACGTTTAGAAATTCTTTACGCTCGTTGGTTCTATGTAAAAACCCAGGGCTGTCTACCGGGTCTGAACGGGGGGCATTTACCCCCTTCTTGAGACCTGTTCTTCCAAACGGGCTTGTGTGCGACGTTACAGAACCCCACTAGGTGCTGCGGAAGGTTAGGAAATTAGCCCGTCACTGTCGCTAAAGAAAAGCACCCATTTAAAGACCACTTTACACGCACAGACGCCCAGTGGAGAGACGGCTTTATTGGGAAGGTGCCCCCGGGAGGGCAGGGAGGAGGAGAGCTAATCTGATAGACGCCTCTGGTCGTGCCGAGGCCCGGAGCCCTGGGGGTAAACACAGCCGTGCCTGCCGCGCCCTTGGATGAGGCCATTGAAGGACACGAAGCCCTGACCTGGCCGCCACCCGTGATCTGGGGAAGGAGTTAGGCTGGCAATGAATTTCTCTGCAACACAGCAGCTTTCAAAGGCTCAGAGTGCGATCCAGAAGGAGAGGAGGTTAGGAAGCTGTTTAGGAGAAAGAAAGAGGAAACAAGGGGAGCTCTCTAACACGGCTTTTCCCGTAGAGCTGCCGGCGATTCGAACCTCTCCCCTGGTCTGACTCCTGGAATGAATACCCAGCGGTCACCACGCTCCCTTCCGTTTTCATATGAGTGGATTCTTCAAGTGCCATGTGATCCGGGATGAATTCTACCCACGCTGGTGAGAACACTGCTCAGATGACCGTGGCGGATGAAAACTCCTCAGCATGGGGAACAAATCCTCTTAAATTACCCGAGAGGCCGCCTGCACAGTAAGTGGTACGTGTGCAGTGAC